ATTCATCTATAAATTACAGAAAATAACCCAAGGCCAGAAATGATGAGAGGGATCACTGTGTCAGGATTTATATATCTGGCATCTATTTGGCTTCTTTTGTGAGAATACCTATATCATATTCCTGGTCCCCTAAGAGCTGGCTAATAACGTGTCGTGCATATTAATAACAAGGCATTCTGTAAGACCTGAGTAGAGTAGGAATCACATTAGATAGGAACTGATGACAGATCAGTGATTGGGCCTTTTTGCTGTGCATGCCGCTCTAGGTGCTGTGCGGCTAACACAGGTCAGAGCCTGTCGCTTGTCTTCGTGTAGATTACAGCTTTGTTGTTTGGTAGATACTGGATTGTTGAGGATTGCTATGTCTTGATGGGTTGACCTTTTGCCATTATACAATTCCCTCTCTATTCTGATCATTTTCTTTGCTTTGAGGTCCCATTAGTTGATACAAATACAGTCACTATTGCTTTCTTTTGACTGTTTCCTATGATAGGTCGTTTTCAAATCTGTTGTCATTCTTAAAATCAAATTTTTAAATTAATCATAAAATAATGAGCCTCACTATGATATTTTTATAATATATATTGTGCTTTGCTCATATTCATCCTTCCCCCCACCCCAGTCCTTTGCTTTTAGCATACTTCTATTGTTTTTTGAAATTTCTTTCAAAAACAGTGTATCTAGTTGGATTATGGTTTTTGTTACTTTGGTTATGATCCCAGACTATGTTTATCTTTTAATTGCTCTGTTTAGAACATGTTTTTGAAATGTGAGGACATAATTTATAGTGCAAACATTTCCACTTTGTTCTTCATTGCACTTTTCTTTTGTAGATTTCTTCCCCCCCTTTTTTTTTGCAGTTTTCTGTTACTTGTTTTAATAAGTTTGTCATAATCTTTGAAGCATTTTTATGATAGGTGCTTTAAAATGCGAGATATGTCTAAACATTTTGTTTGAAATCTGCCTTGTTGTGGTAAGTAATCTTTCTGTTGAAAGTTGGACAACCTGGATATTATGCCAGGGACCCTAGATCTTATTCAATCCTTCTGTTTTTTAACTAGTGTACTGTGCCACCATTCCAGCAATAAGGGTCTGCTGTTTACTGGCAGATGCAAGGAGAAATTAAAGCTAACGTTTTACACTCAACAGGGGATGTATTATTCTAGAGCAGGAGTAGAGTTTAGGCCCAACCGAGCATCCTGACACTTGGTCAGGAAGTGGTAGGCATGCCTTGTTACTATTCCACATATTGTCACTGACCCTACTGGGGTTGTGTCCTTGTTACTACTGAGTGATGGTTAAGGCCTTAACTCATCATCAAGGAAACTTAACAGCACCCCTAGACAGGAAGTTTGGCTGCTTATTACTCCCCAGAGGGAGAACAAGTTCCTGCTCTTGTGTAGTTTCTGTGGTACTGTAGGATTTGAGGGAATCTGCCTTAACTGTGTTCTGCTGAACATGGATACGTTAGGACACTAATTCAGTCTCTGCTGCCCTTGCCAGGAGTTGGAGCACTATGTTTGGTGATACTTGATTGGAATAGTGTTCACAGTTAGAGCCTCTGCCTTCTCAGGTTACTTCTTTCTAGTCTTCTTGAACCTGGGGCATTTGCTGGGCAAGTACTAGATCATCTGAGCTATACCTCCAGCTCTTCCCCGCCCCCCAAAGAAAATTTTTTGCTGTTAACAAAATAAAATAAGATAAAACAAAAACCATCATATTGAGTTTGACACGCTAACATGAAAATGAAACGGCCCCAGGAGAGGGCATAGGATCAGACCCACCTGTTGAGGAGCCCATGGAAGTGCTGGACTGGTAGCTGTGGTGTGTGTGCAGAGGACCTGGTGCTGACCCCAGCAGGATGCTCGTGCTGCTTCAGTCTCTGAGTTCACATGGAGGGCCTGTTCTCCTGTGTCCTCATCCTTTCCTGCCCCCCCCCCCCGGCACAAAACATTTGGCTGTGGGTCTCTATTCCCGTCTGCTGCAGAAGGAAACTTATCTGATAATGGTTGAATAAGGCGATGGATGTGTATAGCAGAACATCATTAGGAGTCGTTGGATTTTTTGTTTTTCTTCTGCTTTTCTAGTGTCTCTCTGTGTGTGGCATGTATATTTGTGTGGGCACATGTGTGTAGTTGCACATACATGTATGTGCTTGTCACTGTGGAGTCCAATGTGTCATCCTCAATTACTCTGTATTCTACAGGCAGGGTCCCTCAGTTGAAAACTTGCTGTCATCTGCGGCAAGGATAACTGAGGCAAAAAGAAACTGAGTGGGCTTACCACTATATGTCATTCTTCCAAGTTTTTCCCTTTCTGAATTTAAGATCTTGCTACAACAAGGCTATACTGGCCTTGAACATACAATTCTTTCCTCAGCTTCTCAAATGTTGGGATTGCATACGTGTGTGCCACCACACCCGCTTTCATTCAGAATCTTCTTAGGTATTATGTGGTCCATGTGTCAGTAAGTTATACTTAGCAGAAGTCAGAGAAACACACTCCTCAGTGTTGGCTGGAACTGTTAGTACATTTTCTCTAAGTTTCAGAACTCAATGTTCTCTTACCTCGTTTTGGTTACTGCCCCTCCTGTAGCCACCGGAAGATTTTATCAGTGTTCGTTTTCTCTGGGTCCTCTTTTCTATTTTAAGAAGTTTGTCCCTACCACTCCTGAAACACATCTTGCAAAAGTTATCACTTGGGGCTGGAGAGATGGCTCAGTGGTTAAGAGCACTGGCTACTCTTCCAGAGGTCCTGAGTTCAATTCCCAGCAACCACATGGTGGCTCACAACCATCTGTAATGAGATCTGGTGCCCTCTTCTGGTGTGTGGGCATACATGGAGGTAGAATGTTGTATACATAATAAATAAATAAATCTTTTTAAAAAAGTTATCACTCAGAATTGCACAATAGAAGCAGTAAATCCTTAACAAAATTTGTGGTCACATAGATAGAAATTGCACAAAAAAGAAAAATCTGTGGTGATCTCTCATGCTATATTAAATGACTGAAATTCAGGCTATATTGGAAAAGAAAAGAAGAGTAAAAAAACTAAATGATAGTAGTGTAGGCTAAAAATATACATAATTTTAATCAGTATCAGATTGTTTTATTACTTGAAATTGTTCTTTGACAGTGTCATACGTGTATATAATGCATACTCTCATCTTCCATTCTTATAATTAATGTCTTCTTAAGTAAGATTTTATGTTAAGTAATAGAATGATCAGAAAAATTAAATGGTAAAAATAAGTTAAAAAGAAACAGACATTTTAGATGTTGAGTAGTTACAAGTCTTTTATCTAGTTTGGACAAATACTAATTTCATTATTTAGTAAGTTTTCGCAAAGTAGTTTTTTAAATAATCCTTAGTTAATTTTCTGATGCTATAAGATTGCTATCAAAGCTAGCAAGGAATGTTTTTAAAAAGGTCTCATCAGTGTGTCACACAGGTAACAAGACGTCTTTTTATAAATACTGAAGGTTATTCTGGGTAGTGGTGGCACACGTCTTTAATCCCAGCACTTGGGAGGCAGAGTCAGGCGGATCTCTGTGAGTTACAGGACAGCCTGTACTGTTACACAGAAAAACTTTGTCTCAAAAAACAAAAACAAAAAAAGGTACTAAAAGTTTAACAATAGTGTTGTACCAAAATCTTTTCTGCTTAATGGAACTATAACCCATCCCACATAAACCCTCACGTTGCTGACTTAAGATACAGAAAATCTTGGTTAAATTTTAGAATACCAAGTGTCTGTTGCATCATGAGTTCTCAAATTCAGTTTGAATGGAATACTATAGTTGCAGTAGATATACCCTGTTTAATCAAGGGGAATCAGGTGGTTTCATACAGATGGCAAGTTTGAGTTAGGCCTTGAGTTCTCTTCTCATCCTTTCCAGTAGAGAAAATAAGGTGTGCTGACGCATAGCTGACTTTTGAGAATGGAAAATAAAATGCCTAGAGTGCAGTAAGGATATGGGTGGTGGCCAGAGATCCTGGTAGTGGAGCTTAACAGCATCAGAAAGCCAGCGAGACTTTGGAGTGTTTCATTGATTGAGGTGTTCTGATTACTTCATCTTTAGAAATAATAAAGGCAACTTGTTTGTAGCTTTGTATTTGCACCTTAAGTTGGGTGCTTTGATAATTGGTCTCAATTTTGTTTACCAAAACTCTGGGGATCCGGATTTGTGATTAGGTCAGTTAATACATTAATTTTCTTTCCAGTATACTGAACTTTTTGTTTGTTTTATTTTGTTTTTGGTTTGAGTTTTCGAGACAGGGTTTTTCTCTCTCTAACAGCCCTCACTGTCCTGATAGTAACTGTTATAGACCAGACTGGCTTTGAACTCACAGAGATCCGAGTGCTGGGATTAAAGGCATGCACCACCACTGCCCTGCTCGTGCCCTAAACTTTTAACACTATTTGTGGCTTATCTTTTTCACCAAGCTGATGCCTAAAATCATTCTAAAAAAGTGTGTTAATGGGGCTGGAGAGATGGCTCAGTGGTTAAGAGCATTGCCTGCTCTTCCAAAGATTCTTAGTTCAATTCCCAGCAACCACATGGTGGATCACAACCATCTGTAATGAGGTCTGGTGCCCTCTTCTGGCCTGCAGACATACACACAGACAGAATATTGTATACATAATATATAAATAAATTTTAAAAAATGTGGTAATGACTTGATTATCATTGGCTCAGCACTTGGAAAAGAGCCCCTTCTTGGATTTAAAATGGGATCAGGAGCCCACTATGCAGGCATTCTGATCTTCACACCAAGACATGTTTGTGATTTATTTGGAATTTTTGATTGAGATGTTTATTTTTCTTGAAGTTACTACAGTATACTCTGATTGTCAAATTTTCTATGCTTTACTATTGCATTGGTAATTTAAAATATGTCTGTTCTTTTAAATTGTCCAACTGAAAATGCTAGACTTAAAGAATGTTTCTTTTTGTACTTGGTCTTAGAATACTTTTTCTGGCCTCTGTCTTTAAGGTGTGACTGCACAGAAAAGTTACAGAGCAGGTTTGATTTTCTGCGCTCACAACTGAATGACATCTCATCATTTAAGAATATCTACAGATATGCCTTTGATTTTGCAAGGGTGGGTACAGCTTCCCCTTCAGATCCTAAGTGCTTTCATTTTATGGGCATACTTACGTTTTTTTGTTTGTTTGTTTGTTTTGTTTTGTTTTCACGAATATTGTAGGATAAGGATCAGAGAAGCCTTGATATTGATACTGCTAAGTCTATGTTAGCGCTGCTGCTTGGGAGAACATGGCCACTCTTTTCAGTATTTTACCAGTACCTGGAGGTATGTATGGGTATTTTAAAATGTTTGAAAATTGTATTGAAAATATACTTTTAAGGAACAAATTTTGTACTTTAAAAGATTCTACATAAATAATTAAAGAAGTCTGCTAAAATATTTCTATACTTACTGTCTGTTTAGGTATAAGTTTGTGTCATTTGTGTACTCTGTACCTAAGGCACTTGGGACCTGCAGTGGGACTTGGTGACAGAATGGATGCCTTTCATTTGTTTCTCTCTGGGCACCGTCTCCTGTAATACATTGAAACAGTTCTAAGGGATTTTCATTCTACTTAGGTGGAGTCCCTGAAAAAGTATTTTAGCATAGACATTTCTTATAAAGTTAATTTCTTGAGGTTTTGGTGAGAAAAAGTTGATGCTAGTACATAAATCTCAACCAATTTCTGTGTTGTTCCCACTCTCCATCCCTAGCCTTAGAGCTTATTTTAGTAATAAACCTTTATTTTCTAGTTTGACTCTGCAGTGTTTTGCATCCTCCAATGAGCACAGCTGCAGCAGTCGTCCACTACCCTGCTGACTGCAGCGGGCTGTGCTGCGCCTGCACCTGCGCCTGCACCTGCGCCAGCTCTTGCCTGGTTTTGTTTTTTAAACCTCTCAACTTTAGTGTGGGGGGTGTATTTCTAACCGTTCCTTGAGTAGAACTGCCTTTTCTGTTAGAAACGACACCTCACCATGCTGTTCACTTGTCACAGTGACTTTTCCAGAGCAATTCTATTTCAAGCCTGGGTAGGTGAGTTCTATACACTAGTCAATTTTGGGGACTAGTAAAATTAATATTTTTGATTTATGATACATATCTTCCTCCTGTTGATCAAAAATACATTTAGCTAAATACAAAATATTAATTTTTGTGGGGCTCTGAAAAGAACAAGATATGTTCAAGCAAGTTTTATAATTTAGTGGCTGAGGAAATGGGGAGGGGAGGGTTAGCTTAGTGTTGGGTTTTCATTTTTGTTGTTGGTGGTGGTAGTTGGATTTGTTTTATGAGGAGAGGGTCTGTGTTTTGAGGGGTGACATTGACAGAGTCTTGATGATCATCCTGCCTCTACTTCCCAAGTGGGGATCACAGGTGTGTGTCACCATAACTCGTGTGCTGGGGAAGGCACCAGAGCGCCTGCCCACCAAGTTCTCTGCCACAGATGTAACTTTCCAGGGAGCACTCATATATGGACCCAAGCTCATATTGTTCCCACTACTACTGTAGATGCCCTCTTCAAAATGTAGCTTATGTACACAAGTTCTGTACAGTGGAAACCACACAGTCAGGCCAACCACATATAGGATAGGTTTTAGCTGAGAGCCACATGGGTGTACCATATGTAAGTCTCAGTATTAGTCATATTGACTTTCAGAAAAGAAAATACATGATAATACAAATGAGTCTAGAACAGCAAGTAATTAAGAAAGGAAGAAATATTTTAGGAAAGGCCAAATAAATGGATAGAGTCACTAAAATCAAGCCCCAATAAGAATGTTGGTTCTGTAGTCCAAATTTTTATATCATATTTTCCACAGCAATCAAAGTATCGTGTTATGAACAAAGATCAGTGGTACAATGTATTAGAATTCAGCAGGACAGTTCATGCCGATCTTAGTAACTACGATGAAGATGGTGCTTGTAAGTATATCATGCATTCCTGTGAAAATAAATTCCTAAAGATGTTAAACATGTTTATGCATTCTGAGGCATTAACAAACAGTTTGGACTAGTGTAACAATAAATCATTATTTAATCAGAATGTGGGGAGGGAGCGTCTAGATTCAACAGTGTTATAAAATAAAATCTATGCTAGTGAATAAAAATGTTGATTCTTCAGTGAATAGATGTTACAGCTAAATGATCATTTCTCAGCCAAGAAGCCAATATCCTATTTGTACTTGCCTTTTCAGCGGAAGAAAAGTTCCACTCATGAATTTAAAAGGACAAAGGCACAACAAATAAGCCAAATTAATTCCGTAGAACTCTTAAACTTTAAGTCTCCACTGCCATTTGGAGTGCTGTAGTGTTTCACTGTCCACAAGGGGTACATGGAAAGGTGTCTTGCTTTATAACGAAAATGGAAATAGCACACTGTGACACAAAGCAAGGTGCCAAAGAGACAGCCTGCCTCCCGTATGTAATGTTCTTTCCCTACAGGATCACAGAGTTTAATTCTTGTTTGAAGAAATAATCATTTTCTGCAGTAGGCTAATAGCCCAAGAGGTACATAGAGCCTGCAGATGTGGATATCTGTGTTATGTTGAACCAACATTTAAAACTGAGAGGTTTGACATAAAAATAAAATTGTATATTTTTTGAACTATCAGAAAATCTGACACATTGCACCTGTATTCCTTTGTAGGTTTCAGAGTTTGGAACCAAGTAGTGACTGTTGAGCTTGCTCTCCAGCATGGCAGTCCACACAGTGTTCCAACATTACCATTTAGTGCTTTGCCTGCCCGGCTGTTTCTGTGTGCTCTGCTAAAAGCAAGAGAGAAAAGAACACCCAGAGGTTTTATGTTTTGAGAAAAACAAGACAAGCATATCTTTTCATGGTCATACTTTTCATACATTTTGAAATACTGAATTCCATACATCACAAATACTAAAACTCGTTGAAGTTGCCCATTTGGCTTTTGTTGGTAAACATTTGAAACCTCTACATTAAAAAACTTGTTTTTTAAGAATAGTTAGTCAGTCAGGTACTTGGCATTTGCTTTATGCTGTTCTTTTTACTGTGTCTTATCTTTAGAATAAAATCAGCCTTATGTGGCCACACCCCCTTAACAAGTGCTCTTGCTTCTTGATACAGCAGAAATATGTTTTCTGAGTTTTAAATGCTAGTGCTGTGGGGGAAAGGTTAGTTTTGTCTCAATCATAGGTGTTCATGAAACACTCCTTGAGAAGGACATAACCCTGGGGGATAAACAAAACTGAAAGCAGTAAATGAAGGACAGGGTAGAGTAGGTGGACCGTTGCCACCTCAGAGCTTGTTACAAGGATAACTTTACTGAATTATAACAAAACTTATTTCTTTTGTTTAGGGCCTGTTCTTCTTGATGAATTTGTGGAGTGGCAAAAAATCCGTCAAACATCATAGCAAGAACTGTTGTGAAGAACATACAGATCTCGTGAAGAAAATGCAGGAAGAGGGAGGATATACAAGGGGCGTTTTCACTCACGAAAGACTCCTCATAGTACTTTTTCCTTTTTTTAAAGGAAGTTTTCTTGTTACATGTGATGGGCATTGAGCCACATGTCTTCTGAGACTGAATATTGACGTTTTTGTTTCAAGTTATGTTTTTAACATTTATTTTAGAACAATAAAGATTCAGATTTGTGACAAAGGCCTTAAAGTGAAGATGTCCATTGAGTGTCAGTGGTATTTATTTTGGTAAATTTTTATTTCTTCAACTTTTGAAGTTCTAAATCACCTTGAGTTTGTAGAACTTTAAAGACTTTAAGCAGTTTAAATATTTGGAAGTGTACCTGTCAGTGGTGCGGCTACTGATATTCCTCCTCTTTGCATAATTAGAAAGCATGGTAACTTTAGCTTGTGGGATACTGTTTTCTGATCGCAGCTACAAGTATGGGAAGGACTCCAATTTTAGGTTTTTACAAAAACTGTTTTATGTACAAACCTTATCTAAAGAGTATGTTGGAAAGATTATGTTCAAGTTGTCTTATTTTCTAACCATAAAGTGTTTTCAGTAGGCATTTTTCATGGTGAATTGTAAGTTTTCCCTATTTCTATTAAGTTACAAAGCTCTTGTTTGCAAGAACAAGGTCAGACATCCTTAAGAAAAGTTTTAGAACCATTATTGAAGTCGTGTTCTTTCTCATGATTATTTAGTAATTAGCATGTTTTTAGCCATGACGATATATGGGGTTTTGCTGAGAGCACTTTGTCTGCTACAGAATACTTGAGCTTGGTTATGATACACACTGGAGGGGAAGATAAACAGTAAGGAAGTACGAGAGATTTGGTGTAACTATACAACTCAGGAGGCCATATATTTTGTTCCCCTGTGAGGGCTACAGGACCTTGCTTATATGAGCCTCTGCCCTGAGCTACACCCTATCCCCAGTGAGGCAGTTTACAATTACAGCCACACATTTGCTATTGTTTATCATAGACTTAGACTACTAACAGAAAAGTTGACATCCTTGTATAATTTATGTGAAAAGCACATTTTAGATTGGCACCAAGCCTAGCTGTCCATTGCTTTTTAAGATTGACCAGTGTTCTAGGTATGTGAAACTGTTGATACTCAAAAGTTCACACACCCCAGCTTGAGTAGTACTTCTGGTTCCTGTATGAGTGGGAAGAAGTAGATATACCCCCATAAGACAATTTCAGTTGGGATTTACAGTAAAGGTTGATTATTTTTAATGAATGATAGTTAGTACTGATTTCTTTAGAGAGACTATCTTTCTGAAAGCCTTGCCTTTTTTTTTTTTTGACGAGTAAGGAGACCACAATTGCTAATGCTCTACTTGCCTTCTTAGTAAGATTAATTTTCCTAGCAGTATAGAACATTGACAGGGCAGTGAGAAATAACAGGTTTGTTCTAAAGTCTTTCAGATAGGGGTCATTTTCCTGAATTATTCGTTGTAGATCTGAGACTGGTTGAGGTAGTAGAATTTAGCATACCAACAGTGTTATTTAACATCACAAATGATGTTTTAAAACAAAATTCATTATAAGGAAACATTTGCCGCTTTATACTTTTTGTGGGGGCATGGTTACTTGGCATTGAACATGGTCACCTGACATATATAGTAGGCAAGTGCCCTACCACTGAACTACCATATATTTACCCAGTCGAGACCTTTTGATTTATAATTTTAAAAAATTTAGATTTATTTATTTCATTTTATGTGCATGAGTGTATTACCTGCATGCATGTCTGCACCACATGCTCCTGGTGCTCAGGGAGTTGAGAAGAGGACATCAGAGCCCATGGAATTAGAGTTGAAAATGATTGTGAGCAGCTACGTAGGTGCTAGGAACAGAATCTGTGTCCTCTGCAAGAGCAGCCAATGCTCTTAACGCTGAGCATCTCTCTTTCCCCTGAATTTGTAATTTTATTGTCTTTTCTCCAAGGTACAACTTCTAAACTTGGAGAATATTGTCCTATTTTCTTTTTTAGCTTCCACATCTATGTAAGTGAAATCTTACAAGTTTCCAGGATATAACATGGACGAATGCTCTCTATCATCTAATTGTCTAAGTGAAATAATATTCAAATCTTGTTGATGACCTTAGGAAGCAGCAAAGCATATGAGAGCATATGTGTTTCATTTCTTATAAAAAATCTGGAAATTAAACTTAAATTCACTGATTTTTTTTTCTTAAAATCATCACTCCGGTTATGTCTTTACTCTTGCCCTCAGCCCTCAAATTTTTAACATTCACCGACTTGAAAGGCAAATTTACTCTGCCCAGATGTATTTGTCGGGGTGGGGACAGTGTCCCTTGCCATTCTGTATTTGTGAACAGTATGTCATTGTGTTGGGGACAGCAGTAAGGAGCCTACAGTTAAATGTGCCTCCCCCTTTAAACCTGAAGTGCCTTCCCGGGGTCCTGTCTCAAGTGCTCAGATTTATTGTGTTATGGAAAATGAAATACCTATGGTGCTTTATAATGTGGGGTTGTCTTTCTCACAAAATGTACACACAGAAGTAAAGCCAACTGTGGCACTTTAGCAAAATGGCTAGAGAGATAGTCTCCATAGCTCCAGTGTGTAACACACTTATCTAACCAGTGTGTATTTGTCTCTTACTGGTTAGGTACGGCATGTTTAAGTGTTGACGGTGAAATTCTTTATGCTTTTATGGGTTCTCAAGACACAGCGTCTCATTCTTTATCACAGCCTGATTTTGAACTCATTGTGTATGTAGCTTAGGCCTGCCCTAACTCAGAATCCTTTGACCTCAACCAGAGGAATGGCTCGATTGCAGGCATTAACCACAACACCTGGCCTGACTTAGTACTTTTTTGACATTTTTTTCTAATTTATAGCGAATATATAGGTTTTATTGGTGTGTTTTTACTCTGAACTAGTCTAGATTAGTTTTTAATGGAGTGGAAAAGTCCCAAGAGGGTGTTAGTGCTAGATGACCCTTGGGAGTCTCTTATATGTAAATGTTTCTCAATTAGCAAACCAAATTTGTTTAAACAGTGCCGAATACCTTCACTTTGGGTGAGTAGGTTGTGAGATGGGGTGGGAGTGCCTTTCTGAGATAACTGAATTTAAGGCATTTGACATTGCTCAGCTTCAGGACACAAAATATCTTGCCTAGTGGTCATTTTACTTTTCTCTGTTTGTTGAACAGAACATGATCTTTCTCATGATTTAGAAAGTATGAACAGATAATGAAACTCCAGGAGCAAGAGTTAAGACTCCCTGAATAACGTGTTTATTTTCTGATTTTTGCTAATACTATCAGGATAGTAATCTGTGACAAAGTAAAATCTTGTTCTGTCTTGTAAGGTCATATAGCCTAAAGTTTTGATGTGTAGCTTCCACATTCTTCCCAGATATCTAAGTAAGTGGAGGCTTTTTAATAACATATTTTAAGTGTGTCTTAAAAAGCAATAATCCTATTGCTGAAGAAAAGTTTGTTTCTACTGGAGAGGAATTCTCTCAAGATGTGTCATTTCTTGCACAAACTGGAAAGCGCCACAGGGAGCATCAGAGGCAAGATCCTTTTCAGTAAACCCAGAAGGAAAGGCTAGTCCAAATTCTCAAATACTCTGGATCTTAGAGCTCAATGAATACAGTTTTATTACTTAGTAACAACCAGACAGAGTATATAAGGTTCATTTTCTGTTCATGGATTTGAAGTGCCAAAAGCAAAGTTAAATCCCCCCCCCCCCCGCCGTCCCCCAGGGTTTCTCTGTGTTGGCCTGGCTGTCCTGGAACTTACTTTGTAGACCAGGCTGACCTCAAACTCGAGATCCTGCCTCTGCCTCCCAAATTCTGGGATTAAAGGTGTGTGTCACCACCGCCTGGCTGCAGTGTAATTTTTATGGTTAGCTTTTATAAACTAGAAAAATGAGTTTCTGCCGTAAACTTTGTGCACATTGTCGACACTTTTGCCTCTTAAGGCTGCACACGGTTTTCCCAGCACCTGTCTTACGACTAGTCACACATTTGCTATATCTGCCTTCAGTCGTCTCTGCTCTGTTAGTACAGAACTCTCCCCATTGATTCTAACTATAGATCTGGATAAAAGCCCTTCAGTGCACTGGGCAAGTCAAAAGAAAATTACCTTTTATGTGTCTGCTGCCAGTCACATTTGAATCATACAAAGAGGGAAGAATAATACTTGTGATAACTTGTCATTTAAAACTTAGAATTACTAATTCACTAGTCTTAGAAATGAAGTTTTTGAGTATTATAAGTGGAGAGTACCTATACTGTTTTTGTAAGTTCCTAGAAGCAACAGCTAAGCACCTTGGAGTTTTTTCTTTTGTCAAATACCATGCAACTTTTAGACAAGTTACTTGACTCTGTCATCCTCAGTTCTTTTGTAAAATACTATTGGTAGTGTTTATCAGTACTGTAAAGAAGTTCAAATAGATACCACTTCACAGCGTGTGATAGATATTAAGTCAGTATATCTTAGTATATGAACAAAAAATGATTCAATAGTTCATTTTCTTACTGAAGGAGGATATAGCTCAGTGGTAAAATGCTTGAACAATGTGTGAGGTACTAGATTCAATCCCTGGTAGTGGCAAAGATCAAAAATAATTTTTCTCTGGCAAATTTTGCCATATTTGCTCTTTAGTTTACCATGTGTTTATATTCTTAGACTAGATCATTAAGTCAGTAATCTCAGCTCTCTGCTTTATATCAAGAATAGTCTCCTGAGTATACAGCAAAGCATAGAATGCGTAGTCTGATCTGTATGGTGTTTTTCATTTTAATTGGTATGTGAAATACATGGACATGTATAAGACTGTTTGAGGAAGGGTTTGGAGAGTAAGTGTAGGGTTGCTCTTTTAATTGTGTGTGTGTGTGTGCGTGCTTGTGCTTGTGCACTCACGCCTGTGAAACATGGGAGTAAGAACACAGCTTGTGGGAGTTGGTTCTTTCCTTCCACTCTGGTTCTTAGGGCTCAAACTAGTCCTCAGTCTATCAGCAAGTATCTTTACTTGCTCAGCAATCCCTCTTGCCCATTATTCCTATTTTAAATAGACCATATTTAGTGTTAAAACTAAACAGACCTGAGGAAGTGAATGAGGACAGTGTTTGGGAGTCTGTCATTCCAGACAGAAAGAATATCGTGTACTGAGGCCATGAGCTGGTAGCGTTCTTGTCTTCAAGACAGGGATGAAGGCAATGGTAT